ATTACTATTAATTAAATATGTAATATGTTTTATTATTATTAAAAAATAAAAAAGCTATTAATATTATGCTGAATAATTTTATTTGGTTATATCTATTTGTTTTTGCTTGATCAAATATAAATTGTCTTCACCTAATCAAATTTACTTGATTCATTAAAAAGCTTTTAATTTGTCTCACTAAATCAAATAAAAATTTTAAAAAAAAATTGAATAATATTTTTTTGAAGTTTGATTGAAATATTTCACTAGAATTTAAAAATTTATTTTATAACATATTTTAACCCGGTTCAAATAGAATTTTAAAAAATTCTTCTATGATTTGCTTTTGCCTAGTTAAATTAGAAATTTATATAATTTGATTAGAATTTAAAAATTAATATCTTAGCAAATCTATCCAAATTAAAAAAAACTCTATTATGCTTAGTAATTTTATCCAGCACAAAAAAATACTGCCAAATAACTAAATTAAACTTTTTTTGTATATTTGGGCTGCCAAATAATTAAATAAACTTTTTTTTTTATATGTAAGCTGCCAAATAACTTGAGTTATCTGACATTTCATATAATCATGTAAATTTTTTTGCTATAATATTTTTTGCATTATCAGTTTTGCAAAACATCACAGAAAAAACTTCACATAGTCATATTAACTATCAGATAATATCATTATAGAACATATATACAACAAATAACAGCAAACTGTTTTTTTTTATCGGAGTTAATTTCACTCATATGCTGCTATGCAGCACATGGAGTGATATTAATTTCGGCAAAAAAAACAATTTGCTGTTATTTTTTGTCGTCTGTTCAATAATATACACTTATTTGGCAAACCTAATCATAATCAGATGCTAGATAATGTTTTTATTTATTTACAATATCCTAAATTATGAAGATACAGTTTTTAACCTACAAGCATACTTGGAAACTATAGTTATACTACTTTCAACAAGAGTGTATAATTTGGCAAGCTACCAACCAATAAATAAAAAAAATATGCATGCATAATATTTTGTATACATGAATATAGTATGTATTAGTAAATAAAATTTGATATGCACATATGCACTCCGCACACAAAAAATTTTTTTGTACACAAAAAAAATATAATGCTGTACACAAAGCATATGCAATTTTTTTAATAATTATTTAAAATAATATGTGCTATATAGTTAGACTTGTTCTACTATATCAAACTTTGTGTATATTGAATCTAAAATTTAATACGTATTGCATATCAAATTTTGACTTTGAATTTTATTCCCTAGTACGTATATACATACAATTGAACAATATATATATTACTGCGGCCACAGTTTAAAAAAACAAAGTCACTCTTTTTATTATAAAAAACTTTTGTTGTAGTAGTGAACTTCTCATTTTTACTCTTATTGTAGTAAATCTCTCATATTACTCTCATTATAGTAAATTTTTTAAATTTACTATAATATAACTTTCAATTTTAAGTCAATCTATTTATTATTAAATAATTTGGCTATGAGATTTTCTTTTTTAAATTAAAAGTAAATTTACTATTTTGAGAGGTTCACAATGAAAGTATTTTTTGAAAAAATCTCTTTGCCAAATTATTTATTATAAAAGAGTGATTTAAATAGCATGCTATAATATAATGATTGAATAATTTTTTTTATATTTGTATAAAGGTTTTTAAATATTTGTTTTTTATAAATAAATATAGAAGTTTAATATGCTTTGCACCCCTGCATTAAAGTTATATATCACACCTTAATATGATTGGCTAATTTTGCAGATCATTATTTATAAAAAAATAAACAAATTTTTATTAATTTTCTTTAGATTAAATAAAAAATTAAAAAAATAGTTAAATTTTTTTGCAATTATATACAAAATTTAATGCTAAACAAGTTTAATTAGAAACAAAAAAGATATTGATATAATAAAATCTAGAAAAAATATGAAAGAAAATGCTAAAAAATGTAAAAAAAATACAAACATCTTTAAATTTTATTATGCTAACTTTTTTAATGGTTTTAATTAAACTTGTTTAGTATTAAATTTTGCATATAATTGTAAAAAATTTGAATGCTTTTCTTGATTTTTTTATAAGTTATCTTTAATCTAAAAAAATTAATAAAACTTTATTTATTTTTTAAAAATAATGATCTGCAAAATTCAAAATATTCATAACAACTTTTTTCAATAATCATTTGTACCAAAAATTTCCAAAAAACTTTTCTAGGAAAAAATACAAATGGCTATACTAGACGTAATAAGATATGCGAAAAGGGATCTTAGGATAGCAACTATCATTTAGAGATAGTTCTCATATACTATCTTGCTGATTTTTTCAGAGTTTATCACTTACTGTAGCAACAGGTACAGCACTTGTTGTTTAGAGATAGTTCTTATATGCTATTTGCTAACAAGCTCAGAGTTTATCACTCACCAAGAAAACTTAGTAGTATGCAAGTTCTAGTGTAGCTTTATTTGATTCTAGTAGAAGAAACTCATACTCTTTTATTTTGTATACAAGTGGTTTTTTTTTCCTTTACTCTACCCTTTTGCCACTTTCACAAAAATATCGACAAAAAGTAGCATTTCAGCTTACCCTTTTCAAAAGATTAGCATTGTTTACACCTTCTATTTTCAGATAGACAAAGTAGAATATAAATACAGGATTGTTTTGGCAATAATGACCTATACCACATAATGAACCAATTGGCACTTTGGTTAATGAACCAACCTGGACCAGATAGTAAAGTTGGAAGAAATTTTAACAATAAGGCTTAGCTTTACAATAAAGATATACAAGATATTTAAATTTAGTATATAATTTTTATAACTTGTGTCTAGCACAGGCTATAATAGTACTTTCATAGATAGTTTTTTTTTTTGCCTTTTTTTTCTTGTTTTATTTGTTTCTTTTCTTTCATTTTTTTGTTGCTTAGACAGTTTTTTTTATTTTTTCCTTTCGTGTTGTTCCTTTTATCTTTTTAGTATTGGTTTTTTTTTATAAGTTAGTTGGAAACTATGAATCCTTCTGCTTACATAGCTAGAGAAAAAAGGTTTAGAAAAGATGGCAGTCTTGATAGGCCATAAATACCATTCAGTAAAATATCAAAGAATTCATTTGTAGGGTTTTTTAATATAGAGATAAACATTTACTATAGTAGATTAAATATAGGTATTCACTTAAGAACAACTAGATTAGCGAATACTTGTAATTTAGGTGGGCTTAAGGTGACTTGAGTTATAATTGATATTTTACTTGTGAGTTTAATATTTTATCCTAATAAAATGTTGGCAAGATTGCTGAATTTTACAAAAAAAAATAATAATAATAATAATCTGCAAAATTAGCCAATCATATTTAAGTGTGATATATAAGCATATCGCAATGTGTGAAATATGTATTTATTTATAAATATAACTTTAATGTCAATTATTCAAATTTGAATACTTTCAATCCAGATATTTACTATTTATATTATAAAATAAAAATATAAATTTATTTTACTAGGTAATATAAATAAAATTTAATAGTTTATATAATATTTGAAAAATTTTTAAACCCAGCCACCCAGAGGTTTTTTATATGTATGTAAAATTTTTTATGAGTACCCGGCTCTTTTAGATACTTATGTACATATGCTTACCAACTTGGAAATATCATCGCATGTAGCAAATACTAGAATAGATACTGTATTCCTCCGAAAATAAGCACCCCCGAAAGTAAGCACCCCCCGAAAGTAAGCACCCTCTACAATTCATATATACCCGAAAATAAACACCTCTTATATAATGGAAATAAGTAACTAAATATCAAATCATTTAAATTATTAGTTGAGATTATACCTGAAAATAAGCAACCTTATAGCAAAAAAGGGGTGCTTATTTTTGGAGGAATACGGTAAGTTTTTTAGTATGTATATACATATTAAAGAGATATAGTATATATGTTGTATCTTAGATCAGTTCTTGCACCTCAGATAAGGTATGTACAACATAACTTTTTATTATATACAAATTAAAATTCGAGCAAAAATTCCTCAACGTATAGTATAATCATATCAAATCAGCACGACTTAAAGATATTAGTAAAATTAGAGTAGTGAAAATTTCAACGCTATAGATGAAATTGGTGGAATTGGCAAAATTTGGTAAAATCAGCATCTCTGAGCATGACTTATCTATCAGATATATAAACAAGCTATTTTATACAAATCAAATTTGAACTATTAAAAGTTCTTTAAACTAGTAAATCTAGATAAGAATACAAACCTTTAAAATCATATTTTAATTGTAGTGACTTAACCAACAATCTTGATATAATAAGAATTGTTGAAGCTATAGATTAATAGTCTCGAATAGTGTAGACTTCTAAAATTGTATTATGCTACTCAATAAATTTAAATACCCTTTCAAAGATTCTATCTATGCTATTACACTATCATATGGGTGTTGTCAAGAGAAAACCTACAATCGGGCTTTCATATATATTTTGTATATAGTTGTTTATCTGTGTATTGTCTATAGTAAATCTATGTTCGATAATAGATTTACATAGACAGCATACAGATAACCAAAATATATATAAAAGCCCAATTGTAGGTTTTTCTTTGATAGCACTTATATGTAAAATGAACTAAGATATAAACTAAAATTCAAATTAAGCAGTAGACAAATTTGCCTTTACTATTTGTCCTCAAGTTTTATTTTAATAATAATTAAATGAAAAACTAAAGAGGCAGCTTAATTGTCACAAACAAAACATAACAATAATCATTCATTTCCATGATTCACGAAATATATCACAAAAATAAATATAAAAAAAAATACAAAAATGAAAAAAGTGAATGTCCTATTTCACTTGTTTTACTATTGACTATAATTCATAATACCAATAAATTTTTAATAAATGATTGTTTCATCTTCGTTTTCCCAAAAGTCTAAATTCCCATAATAGCAAATCTTTGATAATATATAAATATCTTGCATTTATAATTCTCGACTTTAAATCAAAAATTTTCAAGATGCAAAACTTTTTCAGAACTTTCTACTTAATGGTTTTTTGAAAATAAACAAATAGTTGGCAATTTTTATTAGCTTCTATATTATCTTATAAAATAAATTATAAGAATTATATTTTAATAATGTATGATAATTAACAAAAATAATATCAAACCATTTGCAGCTTTTCTACTTCTAATATCATCGTTCATGTTATTGTGCCAATGAAATCGTCTTGTGAATATAGTTAATTTTGTAGCAACTTGATATTGCTTTTTTGTATTTAAATTTATTTTTAGATTTAAACGAATATGCCAAGTACAAAGAGACTCGATAATACAAACTTTCCTCCATTCATGCTATTGAAAAATGCGCAATTATAAATAAAATCAACATGCAGCTCGAAAAATAATTATTATCAGAAACATACAGGACAGGCTATGTCAATACTCATAACGAAAGAAGTGTATATTTAATTAGAATTAGTATTGATACTCAACAAATAAATAGATCAAGTGAATACGCTTGTGCTATACTAAAAAAAATTCTAATGTGCTTATTAATCATACATAAAATTGCATTCAATACATGTCTAAATAGCTTGATTTATATCGGTAATACCTCATATAGAAAGTCCAGGCCGGCATCAATAAATCTTCCAAGTAGAGATAGGTTCGATTACAAACGGCTACAATTATTCATAGCCAATTTGCTAAATAATAAAATAATTTTTTATTTTTGAGCTTTTAATTAAAGTTGTTCAGAATTAAATTTCAGACATCCTATATTATAAGTAAAAAGAATGATATCTTCTCTAGAACTCGAAATTTTAAGATTTGTAGCCAGCTATGATGTTACAGATTTTAAAATTCTGAGTTTCAAAGAAGATATTGTTCTTTTTACTTATAATATGGGATGTCCGAAATTTAATTCTGAACAACTTTAATTAAAAGCTTAAGAACAAAAAATCATTTTATTATTTAGCAAATTGGCTATGAATGATCATAGCCATTCATAGTCAAACTCATCCCTACTTCCAAGACTACTTGAAATTTACTAATAAAGTTATATTACATGATTCAGAGTGCTTCCAATTATCTTTAAAGTATATAAAATGAGATTGGTGCTAGATAACAATAAGAGAGTTCAGAAATATACAGTACATATATTATATAAATAGTATAATTAAATACTTACCCAATTGCCTTTTTACTAAAGTATTAATCGAACTCTTATCAAAATCATAAAAATTGTTTTTTTTCACAATCGTGCGAAAAATTAATTGCTATAATTTTTGTTATATGTCAAACAATTAAAATCAATCAATTGAATTCCAATTAGTGACAAAATAATTGCAATTATTCAATTTTCTTTCACTATACAATGTAGAGTACTGCATACAATACAGTATTTGGTATAATGATTTTTAAATAGCAAAAAATTAAAAATTACATATTTACAGTCTAACGGCAAATATAAGATATATAAGCTAATTATAGAAAAATTGCAATTAATTGACTCATTATGACTACACCACCAATCAATTGAGTTCAAAAAAATTGCCTTTACAACTTCTCGACCTTTTGACTTTGCTTTTCTCTTTACAGTACTTCCGGTTACAAATCAAGCTAATCGAGGTATTTATACCTGAGTATTAAATACAGTGCTCTATAAAGTTGATCCTTAATCAGTCCTATCAAAAGCTAATACAAGAACAAAATGAATATTGCTATTTTTGCTAACCTAATTTATACCCAGGTATAAGTTAGAATTTTTGCGTGATGATATTAAAATATATCCAGGTTATTGATCTGGGTACTAAATACAGTGCTTTAAGGTAAATCTTCTTCACACGGTTCAGTCTCTTTCTTAATAAGTCCAATCTCTATCTAGAAACAAAAAAGATATAAAAATTATTAAAAATTTTTTCAAAATTCTAGTACTAGCCAACTTCAACTTAAGCTGCTACATTAATTTTTCCATAATTACTGACCTAAGACTAGTAAAGAATACAGATAAAAAGAACCTGATAAGTTTTGTAATTGTTGAATTATTAAGCTACTTAATTTTTAAACTCAATATTATATAGCAAATAAAAAAAATTTCATCAGTCTATTTGCAAGCATAGAGTAAGTATGAATATACAGATATTGGTTTATTAAAAAAAAAAAAAGATCTTTCATGATGCTAAATGTCTTGAAATTGTATTGATTTAAGTATATATTCGAGGTAAAGTTGGTCAAATAATGGCAACAAATAAATAAATAGTAGAGGGTCCTATTAATTTAATAATTTTGTTATATAATATATTAACTAGTGCCAAACCTTGGAATAAATTAGTCAAACAAGATTGACCTTCAAACAATATACTTCTGAATAAAAAGTAGGATTTTATATAATATAAGGTAATACAAAACTTAGAAAGAAAATATTAACAAACTACTATATATTGATATATGCTTGCAAAGCTACAGAAAAGTAAACAAATGCAAAATCATACTAAACTCAAAAGGGAATCACAATAATTATTTTAGAATTTTATAATATGACAATAAATTATTTGATAATATATTTATATGTTGTCATATGTAATTTACAATAAAAATCTAAAAACACTCAAGTTTGGGGCAAAATGTATATTTTTTGAAATAATGCATATTATTGCAGGCAAAAATGAGTTTTCACATAAAATTTTGGTTCTGGTTCCTTTGTAAGTTCTCTCATACCTTGGTATTGGCATTAAAATCATAATAATAAAATTTTGGTTTATTACACACCTCTTTTATCTAATTTAGTTTTTATACTTATAATTGGCATCAGATACCATAATTGATTTTTTTTTTTTTTTATAATTTCTTCTATACCTTGAGATAGGTGTTAAGTACCATAACTATAAATTTTTGTTTAGTGTCTCACTTTTATCATAAATCTCTTCTAGTACTCTGTGATTAATATCTGATAATGTAACTATAAATTTTTGGTTTTGGCAACCTTTTTTTTTGAATTAGATTTGCTAATGTTCTACTAAATATTCTTTGAATTTTTTTTCTTTATATACAAACAGAGACAGATTCTCATATAAGATACATATACAATACCTGCAAATTTTAGTTCTGGTTTTTGTAAGTTCCTCGATATACCTTGGGATTGGTGTTAAAAACTATAATAATAAAATTTTGGTTTGTTATATGCCTTTTTTATCGTAATACCTTGTGATTAACGTTAGATATTATAATTGATATATATATATTTTTTATAAATTTTTCTCCATATCTTGGGGTTGGCGTTAGATACTGTAACTATGAATTTTTGTTCTAGTGTTTTACTTTTATCATAAATCTCTTTTAGTATTCTGTGATTGATATCTGATAATATAACTATAAATTTTTAAATTTTTTTTTTACATATAAACAATATCAGCAAAAAAAATAAACCAATATATATCAATTACTAGCCGGGTAATTATATATCAATACCAATCACCCCTGCTGATTACACATTATCGTGATAGTAATCGATATATAGCGAATTCGTTTACTAGCAGTAATACTAAATATCGCTATATATCCGATTCAATTAATAGCGATATTTGATAACATTCGATTATAATCATACTACTGATTTCTAATGATTATGATAAATAGCAAAATTTATTGTAGTTATCACGATAGTATTAGATTAATTACAAATTTACTACTAGTGATATTCGATATTATTAGATATACAGTGAATTCAATTTCATATTTGTATACTTTATAAAGCGCAGTCAATCTAATTTTATTAAGAAAATTGCAAATACAAATGAAAAAGAAAATACAATAAACAACAAATAAAAGGCTAAACTAATATTGATTGATTTCAACTAATTTGTCTAGCTCATCTATAGACATTATTGATGAAGTTCTTTGGTATACAGGTACAGGCTCAGGCTCAGGTTCAGTTGAGGATTGTCTTGACCTTTCAGCCACAGGATGTCCCTTAAGTTCACTGTTCATGATTTTTTCTGTCGAATTATGATTAGGACCATCATTGTTGAAATCATTCTAATAAAATACAATGAATATTAATAATAAATATTATTATTGGCATAAAACGATATGTAACAAACACTTACTAGGTATTGACTTATTTGACGCTTCATAAATTTATCCTTGTACAGAACAGACTTAGATTGGGGTTTAATAAAATATCGCATACAGCCAATGTGAAAGTACAGTGATAGTTGGTCAAAGTCGTAACAGCAACTAGCTGAAAGCAGATCTTGCGATAATAGAGACCCAAAAAACCTCTTCACTATTCTGCTCAAAAAGAGCACAATAGCAATTGTTAACTGCTAACTTTTCTTTCACCGAAGTATTTCGATAACACTTGTAGTGCTTTTAAGGGGAGACAACCTTTCATGACCGAATACCTTCCAAATTGAGAAACGTATGCTTTGCAATGCTGCACCACGATGGTTCTTAACTTTTTGTAAAAGCTAATAAAATAAATAAATAAATAAATTTGTTATTAGCAAAGGAAAAAGCAAAAAAAAGAAAAAAAAAAAGAAAAACAATTAAACTAGTGAAAAAATAGCAAAAGAAAAAAAAACCCTCTAATTAAATGATTAAAATTAATATATTTAAATAAAATGATACAAAACGATTACTTGGCTACACCACCCACCGTGAAAACGATTGGTGAATTCGTTATCACTTAGAGTCGACATGTATACGGCGAAGTTTTCGGTAAGGTAGCCCTTAAGGGCTTCCTT